AAAATTCTTTTTTACGTGATAAAATCAAAATGTGATTAACGCAAATCATTACCAAATATGCAAATGTCCGCTATGCTCCTGTAATCTTGATTAGTTGGGTGTAACAGGAAAATTATCGTAAAATTGATTCAACATAAAAGAAAATTTCTTTCATTTTTGTTTAATTTTCTTTAACCGAATCTTCGTTTTTGATTGATTAATTTTCTTTAACTGAATCTTCGTTTTTGATTAATTATATTTTCTTTCTTCCTTTATCAATTGAATTGAGAATTTGAAATTCGGAATTTGTAATTTTTAATTTTTTCTTTTTATATATTTTATCCCAATTATTAAAAAAATGACGAGTAAAAAATCAAATAACCAAGAAATAAAGCAACCATTATCAAATCAGCCGCAACCTTCAGAGCTACAACAGAAGCATGCGCTACAATTTCAAAACCTAAAAAATCAACAAGACCAAGAATCCTTTCGATTGTTGGAGAAAATTCCAAATAAACAACAATTATCAGAGCAACAACACCGGCATATATTAGAACTAAAACAACTACAATATCAACAACGTCAGGAATTGCTGCTGCTTCTAACATGTCCACCTCCACAGCAAACAAAAAAAGGCAAGATGCGCCCATTTAAATATACTTTACGTGCATGCGATTCATGCAATAAAGGACGCCAAGCCTGTGTGATGGAAGAAGGATCTGCTTTTTGCAATAGGTGCATTGATAAAAAAAGCAAATGCACTTTTGATAGAATTATCAAAAAAAGAGGCCGCAAACCAAAGGTAAAACATCTTTTTTTTTTTTTTCAAAAATTTTTCTTTGTTTCGAGTATTGATTTATTTTCTTTGATTAATAGAAAAATTCCGACAACAAAAATGGCCACCAATGTTGTTATAGTGGCAGCGAACCTTTGGCTAATGGCCGTGATTTACGTGAAGGCGTTCCCGATGCTTTTTGAGTTCAGGTATGTTTAATTCATTATTATTATGATAATATTTGATAGAATTATTAGCAATAGTAATAGAAATAATAATAAAAATAAAAATAATAACAAATATTAATAATATATAATAATAACGTACATAGTTACGTAAATATTAAACTCAATATATTAATATATTAATTTTTATATGCGTTTTTCTTAATAAAAAAATATAGAAAGCAATTCTTTGGAACAAGCACTGTTTTGAGGGTTATGATGTAAATTTACTATTGGTAGCAGAAGAGGAACAACGGTTGTTTAAATTTTTTGTAATGTAAAAAAATTTTAATAAATTAGTTAAAATGAATTTTCTATTCTTTTTCGTTTGCTTTTTATTAATTTTTTTTCTAAATGAATTTTTTTAAATGGGTGAATAAAAAAGGAAAAAGTAATATATATATGTATAATTGATAAATAAATGGAATTATTATTATTGTGCTTGTTATTTATTATTGTACAAGTTACAATTCGAACAAAGGTCATCATTTGAACCAATGAAATGTAAAATACTACTATATTAAAAGTTTGTTGCGATACTGAATGGCTGTATTACTAGAATAGTGATGAAGTTTCTATGTTCTTTTTTTTTGGGATAAATCAAAATCTAAATTTCACAAGAATGCTTATAAACGAATGAAATTTTTTCTAAAGCATGTGTAGACCAATCTGGTCAATCAAATGGTCTTAAAATAACAATGATACATGGAAAATTTCATATATATGAAAAAAATCTACGATTATATATAAAAATATTGGATCTTCACCATCATTTCTAATGGATGCTTTTGATTACAAAAAGTTCCTTCTAATAACAATCAGCCATCCTATATTTTAAAGTTAGCCATACATCTGCAGATTGTTAAGTGCTTATCGCGATTTTATATAGATTGACCGGCTCAAGTTTACATGGTTAGAATTTTCCAATAGCGCAAAAAATGGGATTCGAGTTGCCTAATTTGTTATTTCTCTGTGAGTGACTTGACAAATGAAATGAAGAATTCTTGTGTTGTTTTGACACTCGGAATAAATTTGATGAATTGCTTGAAAAAAAAAACAAGATTAGAAAATCATGCAGAATAACTTGAACCGGTGTTAGGGAAAGAAATGGGAAAAAAAAAGAGCAAGGACAAATTGTTGATGGAAAAGCTATATATTCGTAAAATTTATATCGAAAGCAATAATTGAGTTAACATGAAGCAGTCAAAAAATTTTTTGATTAGATGGATATCCAATGATCACTATTAAAAATTCTAATCCACAAAATTATTTTGATTCAAAAAAAGTCACCTGCCCAAAAAATTATTTTGCCATTGATGTTAATGATCAAGTAAAGATAATAATTTAATAATAATATCTAACTTTTGTCCAACTTTTATTATTATTATTATTATTATTATTATTATTATACTTTTATTAAAAATTAGAACAATATACCCAACAGTAAATAACATCTTTTACTAAAGATCATGTTTTTAGCAAATAATAAAACCAAAATATTTTTTTTGATCCAATAAAAATTCCCAAACCGGGCATAATGAGAAGTTTTTTATCCCTAAAAAATATATTAATGTAATTTTATTTAATATAAATGTTTTGATGATTGTTAATATATGATTATGACTTATACATATATAATAAAACATACAATTAATTAAGAATTAATATTATAAGTGAAGTTAATGAAATTCGGAAAAAAAAAATGGTTAAAAGGTGGAAAAAGCCTTTTAATTGGAAAAAAAAATTGTCTATTAAATTTTTTTTTTATATATAAATTCTATTAGTTTAAAAAAAAAAAGTCTGTTATTGTTATTTTTATTGTTATTATTATCATTATTATTATTATTATTATGCTGGTTGTTTTTGAACCAAGAGTTTGCCCATGAAATCACAAGTTACTCCATCATAAAGTATAGTGAGCCAATTTGGACCAGGAGGTAAAATTGTTCCATCTGAAGGCATGTCTACTGTAAGGGCATATGTAGTAGAAGTTGCATCAGCTGGTGGTGTAACGCTAGATATTACAACTTCGACATATCTTTGTGACATGTGTTGTGAATGAGTGACAAAGCCGAAATTCATCAAGGCACCCTTGAGTAATGTTTTATCGAAAGCGGTTGTAGTTAAAGTTATTGTAACATCCACGACTTGTTTGTAATAAACCAAATGTGTTACGGTGTTAATTGGATTACCACCAATGTTTACTATTGTGGGTCTTGGTTTCTGTGTTTGAAGTTCTGGTGGTGTGAATAATTCAATACGATATCTATTGTTTTAAATATTGGTTATCATAAAAATATTCGCGCGTTTAGTTAGTTAGTTATATATATATATATCATAAATATATAGATGTATAAAATGTATAAAATAATACAAACTCTGTGGGGTATTTAGTTCCAAGGGTTTGAGCTCCTTGTGGATTGCTACCACTAACCAACACCTGACCATTTGGTATCATAGTTGCAGTTGAGTGATACATTCTAGGAATTGTCGATGCTGCAAGTGTTCTGTATGTTTTTGCGTCGACATTGTAAAGTACTGGGGTGAGAACAGGATTGTCATGGATATAGATTGGATTATTTTTTGGACCCTTATGATATCCAGCATATCCTACATTGGCTCCATTAATATATAATATATCACTACTGGGTAAAATTACAGCATCAGGCATAACTCTTCCTATGCCACCAAAATCATCCATTGCCCATGCTGGTGCTTCGTCATTCAATTTTATTCTACCGCACGATGCTTCGGTAGGAGCATTTGGCTTCAGATCAGTTCCACCACCACAAATCATAATTTCTGGTGCGAAAAGTGTAGCTACTTTCAATGGCAACATGACAGATGTAGCAGTCAATGGATATATACGAGGAGAAACGCCGGTAATGTCAGGTAAAGCTTTTACAAGAACAGCGTTATCCAAATCGTAAATTATGCTTTTTTTGTTGGCAAATATGAAAATAATATTTTTGCCTTCTGCATTAGGTACTATATGCATCATTGGGTAGAGATTATATATCAATCTGAATAAACGAAGATAAATATTAAATATTAATCAATCGGTAGCAAAAAAAAAATTTTTTTTAATAAAAGTAATGTTGTTGTTGTTACTTACGTGTCAGTCAAAAATTGGAATGGAACTGGAACTGCCTTTGAACCATCAGCAGTTGGATAAAATTCATAAGTTGGTACATTAATCTCAGCTCTATTGACGCCTGTTGCTTTGTTTGAACCGCCCATTATCAATACTCTTCCATCTGACATTCTAAAATTTTAAAATTAAAATCGTTACAATAAATTCGATGGATTTTGCAACATTTTATTTCTACTCACGTGAGCATAGCTGGATACCATCGAAGAGAACTCATCGCACCGATATTTTCATAAACCGTACCATAATCTGGTTCGTAGGTTCTAATGGTGTTACCACCCTCTACATAAGGAACCTATAAATAGTTCGTTATTAAAAATCAATAAAAATTAATATCGCGCATAAAATAAAAAATAAAAAATGTATTTAAATATAAAAAAACTTACACCAGGTTCTCCACCACCACCTGATATCATTGATCCGTTAGCAAGGAATGAACCGGCAGAGCAAAATGTGTCAGTAACAGTTTCAAGTGCGGTAACTTCTAGTGTCTTCCAGTTAAATTGTGCAAAAATAGCGGAAGTTCCATCTGCTTTTTTTAATGGATTTTGTTCCACTATTTGTAATAAAAAAATAAAAAAATATATATATTAATAAACAGAAACAAATTTAATTTAATTAAATTACACTATAAAAATAATTATATTTCTTTACCTTTATCAATGAAAACTAAATAATAAGGGCTGACAACCACCGTGTGCATAGTATTAATGCCAGATCTATTGATGACGATCGTCCAAATTAGTTCGCAAACAAAAAAATTATACACATGATGTGATTAATATGCATATGCACTACTACTCACTCTCCAATGATCTCAAATTTTCCTATTGGGGCGTCTGGTGCTGGTGCTGGTGCTGGCGGTGGATCTAACGAGATGAAATGTTAAAATTAATCAGTAAACTATCAAATATCGACGAATTATTTTTGAGAGATAAATTTACTTTGTGGTAACGCCAAGGCTATAGGAATTGCCGTGGTTAATAAGCATATTATTAGCAATAAATTCTTCATGTTATTGATTTTGAATTTCATTGTCAAATTTTAGTTTTTATTTTTATTTTATTTTATTTTATTATTATTATTATTATTATTATTATTGTCAAAGAACGAATTTATTCAATTGGAAAATTTTTTTAAAAAATTCGTAATTCGAATCACATTTAAAACTCATCATATATTTATATTAATATTGACAATGTTTCAATTCATCTAATCATTCTATTATTACAGTTCTCTTTTTTTAGATTTTAGAGTTAATTAAAGCAAACATGCTGCACAACGATACATAAAGAGGCATTTTTTATAATTCGGGTTATCTAAATTTACACAACTTATATTTAAATTCACAAATTAAATTAGTTAAATTTGACAAATTCCATTTTTAAATTCATTTTTTAAATGGTAGTCTTGGCGTTCAATTATTTCTTAAAAAAATTATTTCAAAACAAATAAACTGTTATTTAATTCCCTTTAATATTACTCCCATGCGAGTGAATGTATTCGCGCAATATAAACATAAAAGTTATTTTATTTGTTAATAAAAAAAAAAACTTCTTTATGGAATTTCCTCCTTTATTATCCTCCTTTATTTGTTTTTTGTTTCATCAATTTAATTTTAGAATCTGGTGTGACTTATCATTTTCATTTTCAAATTTTTTTTTGTTGCCAAATTTGTTCCTATGATAGTGACAGGAAATTTAAGAGATCTTTAGCATCCTTATTGTTCCTTAAAATAGAACTTGGAAAATCAAGGTGAATTTAATTTTAGAGTAAAAAAAGTTTTATATTTAAAAAAATCTATTTATAATTAAAAAATTTCGATCATCTACTGAATTTTCTAATATCATGCCACCTACCATTTTAGAGACTTTAAGATACAAACAATAAACAATAATTAAAATCAGCGTTATACAACGAATTTAGTTGGGCCTCACGTGCAACACGATTTTAATTGAACTAATACCAATGCATATTAAAAAGGGAAAATAAAACCTTATATGAGATAGAGTGTAAGTTTGTTATTACGTGAAATATAATTGGTGTAAAAACATTAGCTTTTTGGGATAATGAGTAACGTTTTGTGTCTATTTTTGGTAAAAAAGTTTTTTAATAATTAACGCCCATTAAAATTAAATAACAAATGAATGGAACGTTATTGGCAGAATATATCGGGAACTTTGAAAAATTATTAGAATCAGGAGATGGATACGATGTAATAATTAAAGTTGGCGAAGAACCAATTGTTAAAGAAATTCAAGCACATTCGTTGATTCTACGTGCACATTCTACATATTTTAAAACCGCCTTCTCTGACAATTGGGCAATAAAAAAAAATGGATCTTATTTTTTTGAAAAACCAAACATAACTGAAGCTGTCTTTGAAATTATTTTAAAGTAGGTTGATTTGTTTCTAAAAAAAATTATATATATATATATTTTAAAAAAAATTTTCAAAAAAAAATTTTTTTTTTTTTAAAGATATTTGTATACGTGTAAGGTTGAATGGAATAATTATTCTGCAATTGATATATTCAAGATGCTGATCGCTACTGATGAATTGGGTCTCCAATCACTTCACAAACATACACAAGATTATTTGATAAATAATCACAAAAATTATATTAAAGATAACCAAGTTGCTATTATTCAATTAATCTATAATAATGATGTTTTTGGTGATTTAAAAGATGTTTGTCTGCAAGAAATTTGTTACAATGGCAGAAAATTATTTGAAGCAAAAGACTTCATAGCGATGGAAGAATCTATTTTGCTAATGATCCTTAAAAACAATGATCTATTTATCGATGAGATAGATGTATGGAAAAATATTCTCAGATGGGGCTTAGCAAGACATCCAGAAATTGATAGTGATCCTAAAAAGTGGAAACAACAAAATTTTATTGACATTGGAAAAACTTTACAGGAATGCATATCATTAATTAGATTTCAAGACATATCCAAAGATGATTTCTATCACAAAGTTATGCCATATCAATCACTCTTTCCAAACGAGTTTTGGGATAATATTTTACATTATTATTTTATTCCCACTGATAAAAAATCATTGCAATTTTTATTACCACCAAGAAATCCAAACATTGAATCAAACATTGTTAATCAACAACATGTCATGTTTTTTGCAACTTGGATCAGTAATGGAAGTATCTCACTACCATATATAATTTCCAAGGAAGTAAAATACAAGTTTAAGCTTCTGTATCGTTCTAGCAGAGACACTCTAAATGGGTCTGTGTTTCATCAAAAATGTGACAATGTTAACAAAACCCTTGTGGTTGCCAAATTACAAGATTCTGAACATATAGTTGGTGGATATAATCCACTTAATTGGAATGTGAATGGAAATTTTTTTGGTAATGGGTATAAGAGTACAATCGATAGTTTCATATTTAAAATGAATGCTAATAATGATCCGAAAATAGGAAATATAGTAATAAGTACAAGTAATGTCATTAATAATTATAATCAAGCAATTGGTTCCAACTCTTCGTCTTTACCTATTTTTGGTGGTGGCAATGATTTGTTATTTGGCACAGATGGTTGCATTCATGTTAAAATAAGTAGCAACTCTACTTATAAAACTATCTGTGTAAATAATGGTGTCAAATTTAGTGAATTGGAAGTTTTTCAAGTAATTGACAATTAGTTTGTAAAATTATCTATTATTACAAGATAAAAAAAATCATGAAATTTGGCTAGAAATAATAAATGTAAGTTTTGTATATATAACTTTTGCGTCTGACACTAGTCAATTATATATAAAATCTTATACTACAAGAACTTTTTCTCACCCTTATAACATTTATCTATCTATTACGCCTTATACATTAATATAGATAAATAAATATTATTGAATGTGCGTTCATATTTGACATCCAAATTTCAAAATGAAAAAAAATTTCAAAGATATGAAAATTGTAAAAAGTTATTGCCTTTAAATAACTAGTTATTCATAATTTCATTTCTCAAGATCTTTAATATTACAACTATGATAGCCAAAAATAATTTTAATATGATAAGATTTAACTTATTCGGGTAATTCATCTGGTATAGTTGATTTAATCCGTTAAAGATCATAAGAGCATTAATGATTAAATGTTAATAATTACCAATAATTGTCACTTTATTGAAATTCACAGGCTGGGATAGCTTGTAAATTTTAATAATCTGCTAGTATAAGCTTGCATTTAGATGAATTACTTGAAGGGTCAAATTTTATTTCATTCATTTTATTAAATTCTTCGGATCAACGTTCGTCCATGTATCTGCATGCTAGTTCAATATTGAATTTTGATGTGTTGTTTGAGAATCATGGTCTTACACCTTCACATTTTTTTATTGCAAGGTCTGCATCGTGTGGAAAGTTATTAAATGGTTGTCGGCCAATTGACATTACAGACATCAGAACCCCAAAACTATATACATCTATATGGATCCCTTTTTAAAACTTCTGGTGCAACATATAACAATACTCCATACAGATCGATGATGATGTGTGACTAGCTAACCCCAAGTATGTAATATATGGATAAATAAATCTACCATCGTTATGGTGAAGAATATTACCACTATGAAGGTCATGATGAATGATTCCTTCTTCATCAACACATTTTAAAATGTATTGTTGAAGGCTTCCATCTTTCATGTATCTCATTACAAAAATATATTCATTTGTAATTGGATCCTGTGTTAACCCCCAAATATGAATTATACCTGCTTTACCATGAAACTTCACATAATTACCAAACTAATAATAATAAACAGCATTTAATGAAAACTGAAATAAATAATTTGTCTCTTTAGGAAGTTCATCAGAAATATTTTGTGGGTCATGTAATTTTTTTAATGTTACAGTCTTATCTTTACGATTTCGTCTACATATTTTATCACCATTTAACCAAGTAACTTTGTACATAGTTGCAAAACTATCTTCGCCAATCTTTTCAATGTTTGTTAGATCATTCATTATAAGGAATTCATTGAAGATAATCGCGATTGTTGTAACTTTTAATCAACTCTCATGTAATGCTTCATTGCCGCTAGTCCATCCTTCAGTTAATAGCTTTGGCCACATGATGGACACCATTATTCCCATGTATTATATCTATTACAAGTTGGACAATTCCCATAATCTTTTGGAATAAACTTTTTGATTTTATCCTTTTTTCTTTTATAATTAACTAGTACAAGTTTAGATCCAACCATATTAATATGTAACATAATAAATACGCGACTTTTTATGGGGAAGATAAATCGGGTAAACGCAGGCACACCTTGTAAAATTATAGTAGTAAGTACAATTATAAGTTCTGCACACCAAACTCAAAAAGGCATACATTAAATGACCTTAAATAATTGTATGATACAGTATTCACTTCTCTTTCCAGCATCAATTGAGACAATAATACACATTTTTTTGTGAAACTGCAAATTCCTTTCTATAGATATAAACTTGCTAAAAAAACATTAAATTTTTTTAAAAAATCAATAAGATGTTCCGAGTTGATTTTGTTGTTTTCTCACGTTAAAAATACCTTTGATTCTTCAATTGACATTCAGAATGCATTTTACATATGCAAAAATAGATTGATTACAAGCGTCTTATCTACACCAACTATCATTTAATATATTTCAAACCAGGAATTCAAGGGAAACTTACAATGGTGATAATAATAGTAATCAGTAGTGTTAGATCGAGCACAGGACACTTCGTGCAGAGAGAAGTCAACATGGCATGTTGATGTTGAGCTGAGGAGACGTTGAAAAAATCTGTCCTTGATTTTTTGGCAGGATTTATTTTAAAGCCACAAAACTTTCTACTCTCAAAAACACCTGATGGCTTTCCGTTTTTTTTCTTACTGGTCTTTTAACTTGTACTTGATTTTCTCTGCTATCTTCTTCCGTGCTGTGTTGAGATCAACATGAATTTAGTAATCATTTACAAGAAGAATAAGAAAAAATCATATTTTTTTGTCATTGTTAGGGATGGGCAA